TCGTGTGAACTTGATGTATTTATCCACATAGTTGATGTGGTCAGTAAAATGTTGGACTTCCTGCGATATTAGCTCTTTCCGCTTCTTGTTTTCTTAGCCTATGTGATAGCAGTTTCAGTGATTTTCCACCTACCTCATAATATTGTTGCTTTGTAAAAAGGAGTTTTTTTTGGATTTCCTGCATATTTATTTAATCTATTTCTTTTTTAGTTTTACAATTTCATGTTTGTTAGTGTCGTCCCTGGGAGAATGTGCATGTTCTCTCTGTAGTCTCTTCAAATCCTCTTCTAATTTTTGGAGTTTTTGTTCTCTAGTTTTCTTCTCATATGAGGATATAGCTAAAATTTTACCTCTAATCACTACTTTTAATACATCCCAGAGTATAGGTGGAGTCACTTCTTCATTGTCGTTATATTCTAGATACAATTTAATTTTACTTTTCAATTTATCTCTAGGGAGTGAGCCCCTGTGATGGACTTGCGACCCGTCCAGGGTGTACCCCGCCCCTCGCACAGTGATTGCTGGACATGGGCACCAGCGACCCCCGTGACCCAAAAATGGAATAAGCGGGTAAAGATAATGGATGGATGGATGGAATTTATCTCTAATACCTAGGTTATTCAGAATGCTTGAGTTCAGTCTCCATAGAATGGACCTTCTCCTATTATTCAGATGAACTGAGATGTAAATGGGTCCATGGGCTGAAATAGTAATGGGTCCTATTTCACAACTGTCCACCCTCGAAAGATCTCCCTTAAACATAAAAAGTAATCTATTCGCGAGTAGACACTGTGAGTGTCTGAGTAATGTGAGTAGTCTCGGCTCTTTGGGTTTCTCTCTCTCCACACGTCCACAACCCCCAAAACTTCGCCCATACAAGTATTTAATCTTTTATTAATGTTTTTTGCATCGGGTTTCCCATTTGGTGAGTCAATTTTGGGGTTTAATCGTACATTAAAATCTCCACCACATATTAATATCCCTTGACTTTTTGTTATCATTAGGTCGAATATATGTTTATAAAAGGACCAGTCACTTCCCAGAGGAATATACACGTTAAGGAGACTTATCACAATTCCCTTTATTTTGCCTGCAATCATAACAAATCTGCCTTTATTATCCTTATATTTTGATATATGCTCGTAATAAACAGCCTTAGATATCAGGGTCGCCACTCCTCTTCGCTTCCTGGACCCATGGGAAGAAAAGTAAACATGTTTAAACCCTTGTTTATTTAACTTAGCATGTTCTGAGTCGTTGAGGTGTGTCTCTTGCAGAAAACTTGGATTTGTATCTTTCTTTAGTTTTGATAAAATGTTTCCCCTTTTAACTGGATTGAGTACTCCATTTATATTAAATGATGTTATTTTTAAATATCTGTTTAGCATCTATGTGATTCCCCGTTCCATTTCTCTTAAAATCCTGGTGCACTTCCTCCTCCCTGCGAAAACCAGCAAGGAATTAACAATTAACATAACAAACATCAAACTATGTACAAGTTGTCCATGTGACTTCCTATGTATGGGTCTAACAAGTTGACCATGTTGGGTCACCCAAAGGGGCACGAAGGAGAAATTCCCCTCCTCGGTCCAGAGGGAGAGACCCTTGCCTGTTCAAGCACATGTCAAAAAAGTAGGAAAAAAAGCTAGTAAAACATAAAAAATAATTGTAAAAATTAAAAAAGAAAATATAAAAAAGAAAAAAAATATTCCAACCGCAAAGGAAAAAATAGTAATAAAGAAAAAAAAAAATAATAATAAAAAAAGGAAAATGGTCCCAAATGAACCAGTTTCTTCAATAGTGTATCTCTACCACTAATTACGATGAAGATATTTAACCTTTATTTCCGCCGTCTTCAGGCTGTGGGTTAAATCCTCTCTAGGACCCCGAGGAATCTGCTGATGTTCTCTTGAAAGCTCAGACCTTCTCCTTGTAACTTGGCTCCCGACCGGCTTTGAATGTGCTCTTCGTCACTTGTCTCAAATAGGTATCTCTGCAGACAAATTCGGAAGGCGTATCTGATTGGACGATAAAACAATGGGCGTATCTGGAGGGTCACACATGATTGGATGATAGAAAAATGGGCGTATCCGGGAGCCACATCTGATTGGACGATATTAAAATGGGCATGTCTGGAGGGCCATATTTGATTGGACGATAGTAAAATGGGCGTGTCTGGAAGGCCACATCTGATTGGATGGGAAAAAAAGGGTGAACAACAAAACAAAAAGCCTTTTGTGTTAACCGGTTCGACTTAGCGGCGTCTCAGGTTCAACATTGGCAGCATCTCCATAACTTCTCTTTCCGCCTCTCTTAACACAGAACTTCCCAATTATATTTCAAAATAAGAGCAACATAAATGGTAGTGGGGACGGCTAAATGTTTGTTTAATACCTAGCCATTACATTAAAAAACAAAATCCGTTTTGGTTGTTGAATAATGTGAAAATAGTCACAATTAATTCATATAGGAAGAAAAATAAAGTAACCAAAATATTAATGATACTTAAACTAGCTTTGGGACAAAGGATGTTACCTTTAGCTTTGCATTTTCTTGTTCAACTTTTAAAGCAGTCACTGTAGACGAGTGATTGTCAGTTTCTGTAAGATTTCTGCAACTGGAGCAGATATTTCTGTTTACTGGTTAACTTCCTCAGCTGTCTCACATTTTAAGGGTCAGTCCTAATCCATGTTTCAGCTCCTTTCATAGATCAGATCTCACAGAAGAACTTCTAGAGCAAATTTGTTTTTAGCTTTTGTATTGGGTCATTATCTCATTACAGGACTCATGATCTTTAATTGAGACCAGACTTTTTGACAAATAGGAGCAGGTTTCGCTTCAGTTGCTTCACATTTCATTGTACCCAGACCACACTCAAGGCAACCTGTGTCAGGTGCAGCCTACAAGCCAAGGACTAAAGAGAATCTTCTTGTGTTTGACAGCAGATATAACGCTGGTTCTTAGAAACCTTCAGTTTTAAAAAAGAGCTGACGTAACTTACCTAAAGAGCAGCAAATACAGCTAGCCAATCAGCCTATTCTCCAGAAACGCCCACTTTTGGTCTGCAGAGAACCCTTTCTCGCTCGTCTGTCTACCCTCATCCAGGACAGTTGCTGTACCTGCTCCATGAGCGTCTTTGGAGGTTTGATGGTTGTCACGGTGAAGCCTATTCTCTGCAGGTCCTCTGATGCCTCCTCCATGGTGTCGTAAGTTTTGGCTCCATTTTCATATCTGACGTGCAGCCTGGCGGGAAAGATGGTCTGGAATTGGATATTATTCTCCTTTAATACTTTATGGATTTCTGTGTACTCCCTTCGTTTTTCAAGTATGAGAGGTAGATATTCATGGTCCAGGTTTATGTGGTTTTCTTGCTAGTTAAATCTTTTCCCCTGCCATGCTTTGCAGAGTATTGTCTCTTTGGTGCTGGAGCTTAAGAACTTAATTATGATGGAGTGTGGTGGTGCGTTCACTGGCGGCTGCGGTCCCACTGATCGATGGGCTCTTTCATCTTTCTTGAAGATCAGGCATGTCGTCATTTAACTCCAGACCTTCACAGAGTAAATTTTCCACAAAAGTGATCATCGCTGTTTCTTAGGAACTTTTGTGTGAAATCTTTAAATCTTTTAATCTTTTTATCTGTTGCTGCTGTTGCTGCTGATACACTGAAATTTCCCATCCGTGGGACAATAAAGGCTGTTTCTATTCTATTCTATTCTATTCTATTCTATTCTATTCTTTCTCGGACCCCTCCGGTAACCAGTACATCGTTATGTTTTCGCGTCTGGAGTGACTCTCTAGATCCAACAATTTGTGTTTCATCTTGCTATGTAGCTTTAACATAGCCGTTATAACGTCTTCAATGTTTTGGATCCTTTCTTCTGCCTTCTTGATACGTTCTTCCACCTTGTCCATTCTGGTGTTCACCTTCACAATTTCTTCTTTTACCGTCTTTTATGGCCTTGACCCTTACGCACAGCGATTGTTCCAGATTCTCTGAATCTTTTGATGATGTTATGCACGGTTGATGATGATAACTTAAAAGTCTTTGCTATTTTACGCTGGGTAACACCATTCTGGTATTGCTGCACTATCTTTCTGCGCAACAATGGTGGAATTGGTGATCCTCTTAACATCTTGGCTTCTGAGAGACACTGACACTCTGAGAAGTGCTTTTTATACCCAATCATGTTGTCAATTGACCTAATTAGTGTTAATTTAAAAAAAAAAACCTGCAGTATGACTTTTTATAATTGTTTATTGTTGTTGCTGTTGTCCATTGTTGTCATGTTTCTTTGTTGAAATCAGGTCTCTCTTGTAAATGAGTCCTCGAGGCTCAATGGGATTTACCTGTCTAAATAAAGGTTGAATGAATTGGTCTTCCAGCTGTTCGTTATATGCACAATTTCCTTTTTCCAGCCACTTATTGCTACTTATCCCAACTTTTTTGGGATTTGTTGACACTGTGAAATTTTGAATCAACATATTTTTCCTTTAAAATGTTACATTTACTCAGATTAAACTTTTGATCTGTCATCTATGTTATATTACGAATAAAATATTGACATTTGTCATCTCCACATCATTGCATTCAGTTTTTATTCACAATTTGTTTAGTGTCCCAACTTTTTTGGAATCCAATTTGTACTTCATGGCTAAATAATTTAAAATAATTTATTTTAAATAAAAATCCCATTCGGTTTGTGCAGCTCACCCATCAATCAGCCAGTTGTGTCTCATGTCCAATGTTGTTTTGAAAAACCCTGACAGAGTGAATCCGTGAAAAACAAACCGCGAAATAGCGAGGGACTAGTGTATATATTTTCTTTTATTAAACTGAAGTCACTTTTTTGATATAGAAGTAGCAAGTTGTTTCCTGTAAGGCAGCAAGAAATTTCAGCATGTTTCCAGTTTTGGCGTAAATTACCCTAAAACTGCTAAATCTAATAAAAATGTTCAAAAATCAGCTTCCACAGTCTGATTGTCGTTAGAAAGCTGCATTTATGTACCTTCCCCAGGAGCTCATGGAGGCCAAGGATCTGAGCAGTAAAAACACCAGTGCCAATAAAGATGCTCGGAACCAGGCCCAGGAATCCTCGCAGGTTTTTAGGTGCTATTTCCCCGAGGTACATTGGTACTACGCTTAAAGAGATGCCTGCAGGGACAAGAGTAGAGAAGTTAGTTTTACCCCTGCACTGAATAAATTCACCATAGAAATGGCACAAATTAACCAACGGTGCAAACCATGAAGAACTTAAGCAAAAACAGGAAAAAAAATAAAATTATATATATATATAAATATATATATATATATATATAAATATATA